GGAGGGAGGGGAGGAGGGAGGGCGGGCCACCGAGAGAGAAGCAGCCGCCGCGCCTGCGTACTTAGCTCCGCCCGCCGCTGTGGGAGCGCGGAGGGGAGGGCGGTGGGAGGAGCCGGAGGCGGAGCCGGAGGCGGAACCGGCAAGGAGCCAATCAGGTGCCAGGACGAAGCGCTGAGGCGACAATCCCGGCCTCGGGTGGGGCGGGGCCGCGGCGTGGGGGCGGGGAAAGGAGAGTATATGCTAAATAAGTGACGTGCCTGATGAGCCCTGCCTTCCGATTGGCCTGGGGTTTAGCCTTGAGGGCGGGCATTTAGAGGACTGGTTGGTGACTTGGCTGAAGAGGTCCGGTCGAAGGGGTGGGTGGGTCCCGCCTCGGCGCATGCGTAGGGTACACGTGTGTCTGCTGGCCCAGAGGACCTGTGGCCTTGTAGTCGTTTGAACTTTAGCAAAACGGAAAGGCACGGTGCGAAACTAGCTACGTTACAGGTGGTACCTCCCGCTCTGGTCACCTCTGTACTTCCACCCTCTGCGGTCTGGCAACTATTAATTTTCATCTTATGGGATGATTATTACGAAAGTGAGAGGAGAGATGGGCTTGAAGTTTAGGTGTCCTTTACTAAGAGATTTTTTTTTTTTTTTTGTGAGCAAGATGGGCCCTGGCCGGCCCCATGGCTTAGCAGTTAAGTGCGTGCGCTCCGCTGCTGGCGGCCGGGGTTCGGATCCCCAGTGCGCACCGACGCACCACTTCTCGGTCCATGCTGAGGCCACGTCCCACATACAGCAACTAGAAGGATGTGCAACTATGACATACAACTATCTACTGGGGCTTTGGGGGAAGAAAATAAAATAAATAAAATTAAAAAAAAAAAAAAAAAGATCGGCCTTGAGCTAACATCTGCCAATCCTCTTTTTTTTTCTTGCTAAGGAAGACTGGCCCTGGGCTAACATCCATGCCCATCTTCCTCCACTTTATATGGGGTGCAGCCAGAGCATGGCTTGACAAGCCGTGCGTCAGTGCGCGCCTGGGATCCAAACTGGCGAAGCCCAGGCTGCTGCAGCGGAGCGCACGCACTTAACCGCTTGCGCCACTGGGCCGGCCCACTAAGAGATCTTTAATAAGACAGTTGGTAGATAAAAGGGGATTCATTTTGTCTGAACGCCACCCTCTACTAGATATGTCTACCAAAGTCAGGCTAAATAAATCTGACCCTCAAGCTCCTGAACTGTAAAATGGGGATATTAGCTCTTACAAGATACATGGGGAAAGAGTACTTGTTAGCTGCCCAGCAGAGTGCTTAACACTCATTGGATGCTAGATAAATGGTTTTTTAACACATTTAAATAGTGCCCCCTGCCCTGGCTTGAGTCTAGATGATGACTGCAATTTATCCTTTGCTTTCATCCCTGATAAAAGGAGGGGAATGGTGTATCATAGGGATGAGGGACAAAATGTCCGTATTAAACCTAGCTTTACCGTTCAAGTACGCCCTGGGCCTTGAGAATGAAATGAATCCTTGTAAGTGAAAAAAGTGGTCTAATGTAAGGTATTAAACTTTCCACTTCCTCCTTCTAAGGACAGAGGAGAGAACTGTCACAACCACTGAGGAAATGACTCAGACGTATGTTAGTAGCCTCATGGGATAGAGCACAGCCAGTAAATGGAGCCTCTCCTTTGTCGCTTCCTTTACAGTTTCCCCACTAAAGGAGATCTTCCTCTTCTCCCCTATCTCCGCTACCATTAAAGGACTAAGTCCAGAATACCTCAAAGAAGTAAATCATGGGGCCTGCCCCCTGGCATAGTGCGCGCGCTCCGATGCTGGCGGCCTCGGTTCAGACCTCTGGTGCGCACCAACGCACTGCTTGTCGCACCATGCTGTGGCAGCCTCCCACATAAAGGGGAGGAAGATGGGCACGGATGTCAGCTCAGGGCCAGTCTTCCTCAGCAAAAAGAGGAGGATTGGCATGGATATTAGCTCAGGGCTGATCTTCCTCACACACACAAAAAATAAAATAAAATAAAAAAGAAGTAAATCAAGGACCTAGCCTTGGCCAAGCAAGCTTACATATTATTCCACAAATGTTAAACTGCTCCCAAGCACCCTGGGTGGGCCCTAGGTAACTTCCTTCTGTGACACGCCTGTAACTTCCTGCCAAGTTCAATACTCGCTCCCACCCTCACCCTCTTTAACATCTGGGATCACATTTCTTTTTCTTCCTTTCTTTCCCTCCCTCCCTCCCTTCCTTCTTCTCTTGTTCGTTCTTTCCTGATCTATGAAGCACCTATTGAGCTTTATTTAAGGCAATGTGCCTTATTCTAGGTTGAGTAATTCGTCATTCCTGCGTTCGACTCCCTTAAATCTAGAAGAGAAAATCTAGACATGAATAACTGGAGTTCAGTCCTCCCTTTCTTATATATATCAGTGTCTTGAAGGAATTAATGACTTGGGAAAATGCAGAGAAGGAAGAGCAGTTGAGGATTGACCTGGCAAAATTCTCCACTGCATTTTTCAGTGTGATTGATGGCATGCTCCCAGAACTTGATTATATGTAAGAAATCCAGGTCAGGCCAGTAGAGAGACCAGTGTCTTTGTGGTTGTGTCATTGTCTGTAGTTATTCTCTCCTCCATGAAGCTGGTCCCTTCCTCTTTGAATCCCTTGCCCTGAATTACACAGAGGCACAGAGGCTGTGTTACACAGCCCTGAATCCTGCCATCACCACCTCCCTCATCATCACCCGCCCTCATCTCGAAGCATCCTCCAGCTCTCTCTTGATGAAGGTGTCTTCCCTTCTCCCTTCCAATGTTTGGACTTACCCCATCTTTAAAGCAAAACAGACCTTTGCTTGTCCTTGCCAGATGGAAAGTTGAATAGTGGTGAGGACTCAGACCATTCCCAGGTATTTCAGCACATTTTCTAAGGATCCTAATGCTGTCTGGACACGGAAATTTCTCTCTGAGTCCTCTGGAGTGGTACAATCCAAAGGACTTCATTTATCTCCTTTGGCAAGGCCCACTGAGCTCCAATATTCCATGAACTCAAGGGCTGGCAAAGGGCAGCTGGGCCCAGCCCCATTGTCCCTGGGTTCTTTTTTGCTGAGCCATTTGTTCCAAGTTCCATTCTGCTACCTAGGCTGGAAATTCCACACATGCTCAGCTCAAAGGAATGCAGCTCCTGCTGGCCAAAGCGCTTGCCAGGAAATGGGGAGCAACTTTTCATTTGTGGCTTCTTTTCTTTTGTGGCTTCCTCTCTCACATCTGTGAGGCAGACTGTGCTACTGCCTGAGCTATCCCACCGACCTTTTCTAATCGGGGGAGCAACTGCTTTCAGGTCACCTCCTCTGGGGAGCCCCTGTTGACTTCTACAGACAGCCTGGCCCCTGACCTTTAAAGGTCCAAAGACCTTTCTTTTGGTACGGTGTTTGATGCCTTCTTGGTATTTCCATGATTTGTTTGTTGTTTAACCACATTGATTCATTCATTCATTCACTCATTCATTTATGTAAAACATTTATTTAGTGAGCACGGGGCCGGCCCTGTGGCTTGGTGGTTAAGTTCTGCACGCTCCGCTTCAGTGGCTGGGTTCATGGGTTCAGATCCCAGGTGTGAGCCTGCCCGTCAGCCATGCTGTGATGACGACCCACATA